AAGTCTGTGTCTCCCTCTCTCTCTGACCCTTCCCTGTTCACGCTCTCTCTCTCTCTCCCTCTCCTAGAAATAAATAAAAATATTAAAAAAAAAAAAATCATGGCCTGAGCCGAAGTCAGACACTTAACCAACTGAGCCACCTGAAAGAAAAGGCTTTCCAACAGCCACCTGCCTTTGTAGGCAGGATGCTTACCCGTTAAATTTGTTGTTGTTTTTAATGGGAGCCCCGGCTGGGATACAGGCCTTTGTGTTGCTGGAATTGCAAGTCTCTAATTCCTGTTTTAATTGGAAAACTTTGTTATTTGCATAAATATAAAAATTAAAAATAAATATACAAATAAACAGATTGTGAAAAACACCCCCTTCAAACCCACTTTTCAATTTGGTGCCTATTCTTTTACGTATGTACTGAACACGTAACGTAATTTTCAGTTTCAGTGTCATCCGTGTTTGTTGCCACCAGCATGTGGGCCATACGTACACATTACAACTCTACCACAAGATTTTTTTTCACTTAGCAGTATATACTAGACGTTTTGCCCATGCGAGGACCTATAGATGTGCCTCATTCTGTGTAACGGGTACATCATATTCTATATACGTCATTCTCTTGCCCCCATTGATCCATTATCCACCTTGTATCCTCCATGCTGGTGACTGCCATCTAAGAACAGCGTCATCTGGGCTTCATTGCCCTCTGGCTCGGAATCAGCTGATAAAAAACATGCATGGGGAGCAGAGGGCGAGTGGTGGGAGAAGTGAGAGCATTTCTTATCCCCTCCCGCCCTGGCTAGGGCTCCAGGAGCAGCTGTGCCCTTGGTAGTGCTATTCCCGATGGCAGACCTCTCTTTCCCAGTGATACCCTTCTGTCTCCTGCTCTTTCACCTTGAGGGCACGAGTAGCTTCCTACTGTTGATAGCCCCTGGATGCTTCACCACCCCGGTTGGCTCCTTGCACTCTACTCACACAGATATAAAAAAATCCTGTCTTATTTCACTCAGCATAACACCCTCAAGGTCCATCCATGTATGCTGAGTGAAATAAGTCAGGCAGAGAAGAACAAATATATGTTTGCACTTATAGGAGGATTAGGAGGAACTTAACTGAGGAACAAGGGGGAGAAGAAGGGGGGAAATGGTGGGTGAAAGGGAGAGAGGCAAACCATGAGAGACTCTTAAATGCTGACAAAAACTGAGAACTGATGGATGTAGGGGGGAGGGGGGATGGGCATGGAGGAGGGCACTTGTGGGGATGAGCACTGGGTGTTATGTGGAAACTAATTTGACAATAAACTATTTGTAAAAAACAAACAAAAAAATCCTGTCATTAATTTCCTTCAGTTCATTCCTTTGCATGTGCCATCTGTTTCCTGCCAAGACCCCAACTGATATAGATGTCATTGTGTAGATGCGCTGTAATTTATTTGTTTGGCTCCCGATTAATGGACATTTGAATTTTTTTCTAGTATTTTTTTCTTATAATGAGTGTTGCTGAGGAGCATTCACTTACCTATCTTGTAAGGCATTTGTTGGAATGTTCCTTTAGGAAAAAGTCATAGAAACAGAAATGCTGGTTCAAGGTGCCTGAATGTTGTGAATTTCAGTAGCCACTTCCCCGTCACTCATGAAAGAGTCTGCCAGGTTACATTTCTACAGTGTGGTGTTTGGTGTTTTTTAATATTAAAAAATTATAGAGGTCATACTTGTGACTTACAACAAATAAATTTAACTTAGAAGTATAAATACATAGGGGCGCCTGGGTGGCTTAGTCGGTTAAGCGTCCGGCTTTCGCTTAGGTCATGATCTCGCGGTTCGTGGGTTTGAGCCCCGCGTCGGGCTCTGTGCTGACTGCCAGCTTAGAGCCTGGAGCCTGTTTCAGTCTGTGACTCCCTCTCTCTCTGACCCTCCCCTGCTCATGCTGTCCCTCTCTCTCTCTCTCTCTCTCTCTCCTAGAAATAAATAAAAATTAAAAAAAAATTTAAAAAAAGAAGTATAAATACATAAAGTACTTCCTATCATTGCATCATGTTTCCTGGAGGTAATCCTATCAGCAGTTAGCTATGTATCCTATCGTGGGTTTTTTTTCTTTATAAGATTTATATCCTTATCATAGAATAAACTCACATATAAAGTAAATTCATTTATACATGTATGTATGTACATGTATCTCTGCCTATCTCTATTAAGAAAGCTCATTTATAAACTCTGTTCTATCGATCTGTTTGTCTTTTCCTGTGCCAGTACCTATCTTAAGAATTACACCTTTGAGTTGTTTTGATATCTGGTAAGGCAAATCCTCATCTCATTATTTTTCATTAAAAAAATTTTCTTGGCTCTTCTTGGGCATGAAGTCTTTGGATTAACTTTAGATTTAAGTTAAAAAAAAAAAACCAAACAGACATGGATTTTGGCTGGAGTCAGAATCAATTTATAGAGAACTGACATATTTCCAATATTGAAACTTCTCACTTAGGAGCCTGGTGTATGTCTTTATTTATTCAGCTCTTTTATGCCCTTCAGTGAAAATCTTGCCCATTTCCTCCTAAGTTTATTTTTAGATATATTATAGATTTTGTTGCCATCATGAATGGAATACTTCCTCTTACATCTTCTCATCTGTTATTGCTGGTATGGTTTTTAAGATTTTTGTACGGCGCCTGGCTGACTCAATTGAAAGAACATGTGACTTAAAAAAATTTTTTTACATTTATTTATTTTTGTGAGACAGAGAGACAGAGAGAGAGAGGGAGAGAAAAAGAGAGCATGAGTGGGGGAGGGGCAGAGAGAGAGGGAGACACCGAATCTGAAGCAGGCTCCAGGCTCTGAGCTCTCATCACAGAGCCTGATGCGGGGCTCGAACTCACAAACCGTGAAATCATGACCTGAGCTGAAGTCAGACGCTCAACTGACTGAGCCACCCAGGTGCCCCGGAACACATGACTTTTAATCTCAGGGTCGTGAGTTCAAGGCCTATGTGGAGTATAGAGATTACTTAAATAAATAAAACTTAAAAAAAAAGTTGTTGAGTTTTCTGAAATAATTTTATCACCTACTTTTTTGTTCTAATGGTTTTTTTTCAGTTGATTCTCTTGGCTTTTCTAGGTGGACATTTGTATAATCTGCAGCTGATAACTTTTTTTTTTTTAATGTTTTATTTATTTCTAGGAGAGAGAGAGAGAGAGAGACAGCGTGAGCAGGGTAGGGTCAGAGAGAGAGGGAGTCAGAGACTGAAACAGGCTCCAGGCTCTTAGCTGGCAGTCAGCACAGAGCCCGACGCGGGGCTCGAACCCACGAACTGTGAGATCATGACCTAAGCGAAAGTCGGACGCTTAACCGACTAAGCCACCCAGGCGCCCCATCTTTTTAAAAAATAGTTTTTAATGCTTATATTTGAAAGAGAGAGAGAGATTGAGAGAGAGGGAGCGTCCAAGTTAAGGAAAGGCAGTGAGAGAGGGAGACACAGAATCCGAAGCAGGCTCCAGCCTCTGAACTGTCAGCACAGAGTCCGACGTGAGGCTCGAACTCACGAACTGCAAGATCACAACCTGAGCTGAAGTCAGACGCTCAACCGGCTGAGCCACCCAGGTGTCCCTGTAGCTGAGAACTTTTTAATCAGTTTATGTATAGTATTTATACATAATTTCATTCTTATATGTTATTACATGGCCAAGATATCTTAGTAGGGTGGTGGGGGGTAAGGGGGGCGATCCTAGGAAGTCTTCCTGGCTGATGTTACATTTAAGGTGAGCATCAGAGAATGCTGATCATCAAGAATGTTCCAGGCAGGCCTCAAAGAGAGAAAGAACAAGGCTGTATTCAGTGAGTTGGAAGAAGAAAGGCACAGGACACAGACAAGGTTGGGAAGGAAGTGCAAGAGATGAGTTGGAGAGTAAGTAGGGGCACATTCAGAAGCTGCTAAACTCCAGGGGGGAATTACTTTATTCTAGAGGAATTGAGACTTTAATGAAAGATGTGTTAGGCAGAATGGCCCCCAAAGATGCCCACCTCTGATGTCCACCTCTAAATCCCTGGTATCCATAAGTATGTTCCCTCATGTGGCAGAAGGGACTTTGCAGGTGCAATTAAGGCTACAGACCTTAAAACAGAGAGATTATCCTGGATTCTTCAGGTGGACCTGACCTAATCCTATGAGCCTGAGAAGCAAAGTACAGCTCCAGGGGGAGCTGGAGAGATTCAGGGTGAGAGGGACCTAACGCATTGTGGCTGAAGGGGGCCACGTGGAGCAGACTGTCTGGTAACCAGCACGGAGCTGGGGACCTCAGCCCCGCAGCTGCAGGGAGCTGCATTCAGCCCATAGCTGGAATGGGCTCAGAAGCAGCTTTATCTACAGAGTCTGCAGAAAGGAACACAGCCCTGCCGACTGACTCCTTGGTTTTGGCCCTGTGACCCCATGTGCAGAGGACCCTGTTGAGCCACACTGTACCTGGATGTTGGGCATACGGAACTCCGAGACAACACATTTGTGTTATGTGAAGCTGCCGCGTTTGCGATGCTTTGTTACACAGCGGGGTTGAAGCAGGAGAGTGACGCGGAGTAGCGGACCAGTCCTTCTGTGTGAATGGATCCGGGAGAGCGCAGTGCAGAGGCGGGGAACTTGTCCGTGGGAATGCAGCAGTGGCGTGGACTGGGACAGTGATGGTCAGAAGGGGGTGTGACTGGAGATTTATGTGGGATCTTGGAATTGCCAGAATTTGGTCATCGACGGGATGCTGGGACGAGGGAGAGGAGGAGCGCAGGGACGATTGTGGAGTTCTGGCTTTGGACGCTGAGTGACTGACTGGTGGAGCTGTTTCTCGAGGCCAGGACGGGCAGGTGGGACGATCGCCACGTCAGGAACTCCGTGGTAATTCTAGGTGGTTCTTCGCTAGGAAATTCTCCTGTAAATACTTATTGTAAGGCAGAGTATATCAGCAAGATGATTGCTTTATCCTTTCAGACCTGGATTGGTTTTTTTGATGTTTTTTTCTTTTTTCCCTTTAGGTCATGTAGGAAGTTGTAAATCATGTGAAGATGGGACTCTTGGTATTTGTACGCAACCTGCTGCTAGCCCTCTGCCTTTTTCTGGTACTGGGATTTTTGTATTACTCTGCGTGGAAGCTGCATTTACTCCAGTGGGAGGACCCCAGTAAGTATGGGCCCCCTGGCCTGCCCCCCAGGGAAAGCGGGGTGTTTGCTGGGCGGCAGCGCCCTCACACCCTTCAGAGGAGGGCAGTGAGAGGAACCCGCGCGCGCCAGGGACTCAGGCTCAGAAATTGCCTCCCATGTTTGTGGCTGCAGCTTGAGAACTTTGATGTTTTTTTCAAAACTGCATGCCATGGCATATCCTCTCGTGATCCCAGTGAAAACATGCTGTTCTGCAGTCAAAACCCAGACTCTTTCAGTACTTCTAGTTTCTGACGGCTGTGCTTTTTAATTATTATAGCGTGTTGCCTCTCCCATTTGTATTCATTGCCTCAGGGTTCTGTGCTGCAGCTGGTTTTCTTCTGCCCTGAAAATATTCACCTCTACCTTTTCTTTGAATTTTCAGTTTTCAGTTTACTATCGTCTTTGTTTTATGTTCCCTGAAGAAATTTTGTCTACCTAATTATTTTGCTCTTGCTGGCACTGAACTTGTACCCGAATAGAATAATGGCTTCCCTCCCCCTCCCCCCTGAGCTCCCCAATACCTCCTAATTCCTTTCTTTTGATTGCACCCCTGGCCTCACGTGTTGTACAGTGTTTCCTACATAGCTTTCTGTACCCCTCTGACCTGGTTTCCATTCATGCAGTGTGGCCTGTGCTGTGGTTTCTTTTTTTTTTGAGGCTTGCAGTCGAAGGGCTCACATGGGGCATCACTGACTGGTGCACATTCTCTTCTTGGATGTTGCTCAAAGTATCACACAGCGACCATAAGTAGTTTTCCTTTTGGTTCTTTTGTCTGATGACTGTCTGAGCTCGATGCAGGAAACACTGGGTAGTCCGGTCTTGATTCCTTGAATGTGACTTCGCTAAAATAGTTTTGTTTTTACAAAACATCTACTGGATACCAGTGTAGAATTCACTTGAGAGAAGTCAGTCTCTGGGTGTGAGGTTATGAAGAGTGGGAAGAGGCAAGTGGCGTTGGCCTACTATTGTATAGGGGGAGCCATTACAATGAAATAGTTCACTTCTTTCTTTTTTTTTTCTTGATTAAATTTATTTATTTATTTTCCTTTTTAAATAGTTTATTGTCAAGTTGGTTTCCATATAACACCCAGTGCTCATCCCCACAAGTGTCCTCCTCCATGCCCATCATCCCCCTTCCCCCCCCCCCATACCCATCAGTTCTCAGTTCTCAATATTCAAGACTCTCTCATGGTTTGCCTCCCTCCCTCTCCCCTCCTATTTCCCCCCTTCTTCTCCCCCATGGTCCTCCGTTAAGTCCTAGTTCACTTATTTCTTACATGGCCCAGACTCCTGAAGCAGTTTCAAGCCAACTTTTAATTTTTTTTTTTTAATGTTTATTTAGTTTTGAGACAGACAGAGACAGAGTGTGAGTGGAGGAGGGGCAGAGAGTGAGACACATACACAGAATCTGAAGCAGGCTCCAGGCTCTGAGCTGTCAGCACAGAGCCCGAACTCATGAACCATGAGGTCATGACCTAAGCCGAAGTTGACACCCAACCGACTGAGCCATCCAGGCGCCCCTCAAGCCAATATTTGAAATGTAGTGGTACATCTTTAACTTATTGTTTTACATGGAACGTTTCAGTGCCTCTTAAATGCTTAGCTTATAATTTTCACTACTTTGTGTTTCCAGAGTTTATTTAAATTTCTCTGTTCCAACTTAGTTTTTAAAACAAGGAGAGTACCCAGAGTCAAGTGTTCGCATCAGTGCAGTGCAAAATTTTGTAGTCAAAGGCATTCTCTATATCCATCATGGATAGATTCATCTGTATCCATAGAATAGATAGAAATACGTTCAAGAAATGGAGGTCTCCTTTTCTGTTGAGAATTGTTGACCTATAGACAACATAACTAAGAATTAGGTAATATTTTCCTAGAGAAGTTGAGAAGGACATTAACTTTATGGAAGACCTATCTATCGTATGTGAAGTGTTAGGGTACACAACTTATTAATTAAATTAAATTAAATTAAATTAAAATCACTTCTCACTGTAACCATATGGAGATGCTGTTGTCCCTAATTTCCTGCTGAGCAAACCCAAGTATTTAATTAAACGTACCTGAGTTACACAGCTAATTATTAGAACCGGAACTGAATCCTGGTTTGTCTTTAAAACCTATGTTCCTTATTTTATTTAAAAGTATAATAAGTACTAAAGCTAGGATTGAATTCTGTATTCTAATTGGTAAAAGAGACAAGAGGGGCTCAGAGAACCAGTAGTAGAGAGTGTCAGGACAGAGGTGGAGAAGAAAGAAGGAAGGAGAGTAAGGGGAAAGGAAAGAAAGGAAGTTCTCCAAAATACAGAGCAGTTTACTAGCGTGAAGGTGGCATGGTGCTGTGTGTTCACAAGTGAGCGCTGAAGACTTCAGTAGATTATTAATAGCTGTCTGCTTTGCTTGGAGCGAATTATCAGCTGATTAACCACTATTGACATCTTTTTGTTCTTGTGATGCTCAAGCCTTTTATTTTTTTATTAAAAAAAATTTTTTTAATGTTTTATTTATTTCTGAGAGAGAGAGAGAGACAGACAGACAGACAGCGTGAGCAGGGGAGGGTCAAAGAGAGAGGGAGATACGGAATCTGAAACAGGCTCCAGGCTCTGAGCTGGCTGTCAGCGCAGAGCCCGATGTGGGGCTTGAGCCCATGAACCATGAGATCAGGACCTGAACCGAAGTCGGACACTTAACTGACTGAGCCACCCAGGCACCCCTGCTCAAGCCTTTTAGATACTTGACTTTGAATAGGTTGTTTTAGGCCAGCTTACTGTAGCATATTGTTTTCTGTACTGTAATGTCAGAGAGCAGGGTAATATGATGAACTGATGGCTTACTAAGGCGGAGAAGTATCCTTTACTCAATAAACAAAGCCAGTCTATTGAGCTCCCTATAGCAGATGGCCACTGTGTAGTGAAATTTGCTGCTGCTGCTAGTAATAAAATGAAATAATAATTTACCGAGTATCTACTCTATGTCTGTGCTGTGATAGGAACTTTGTATTCATAGTGTATATGAACCTCATAGTTTATTAAGATTTTTTTGTGGGGTCCTCCTGAATGGCTGAGTCGGCTAAGTGTCTGACTCTTGAGTTCAGCTCAGGTCATGATCTCATGGCGTGTGAGATAGAGCCCCATGCTGGACTCTGGAGCCTACTTGGGATTCTCTCTCTCCCTGTCTCTCTGCCCCTTCCCTGCTCACATGCTCTCTCTTTCAAAATAAATAAATAAATAAACAAACAAAAAAACCATTTTTTGTTACTTAAAATTTATTGTTATTTTTTTAATGTTTAATTATTTTTGCGAGAGAACGAGCAGGGGAGGGGCAGAGAGAAAGCGGGACAAAAGATCCAAAACGGGCTCTGTGCTGACAACAGAATGCCTGATACGGGGCATGAACTCATGAACCGAGAAATTATAACCTGAGCCAGAGTTGGACACTTAAGCAACTTAGCCACCAAGGCGTTCTGATTTCTTTGTTTTATAGAGAGGGAGAGAACATGAGCAGGGGAGAGGGACTGAGGGAGAGAGAGAGACACACAGGAGAGGGACTGAGGGAGAGAGAGAGACACACACGTGCACAACACACACACACAGAAAGAGAGAGAGAGAGAGAGAGAGAGAATCTTAAGCAGGCTCCATACTCAGTGCAGTGCCTGATGTGGGGGCTCATTCCCACGACTCTGAGAACATGATCTGAGCCGAAATCGAGAGTCAGACACTCAACTGACTGAGCCACCGAGGTACCTCTGGTCCTCATAGTTTAGATTGATTATTGTTATCCTCTCTTACAGATGCAGGAACTGAGGCTTCAAAGAGGCTCAGTAAGTTTGTATGCCTTTTACCGGGGGACATTTCCAAGTTTGAACAATAAATGCCTTTAGCATTATTTTTCCTTAATTTTTATACTTTTTATGGTTTACCAAGCTTATCTATTGGAATTCCTTCGTGGTCGTGGTAGGGGAGGGGGTCTAGAGATTTTTATTATTAAGTTATGCATTCAATAAGCAGTATATCTCTATTATGGCCCATGTACTATTCTGTGTAAACTGGATGTAAGATGAACATAGAACTTTATGGTCTCAGCCCTATTGTCACGAGGAGGAAATAAAACAGCTCTTATATGTTGTGTTCTTTTTTTTTTCAATTTTAATGTTTTAAGTTTTAATTTTTTATAGTTTATTTATTTTTGAGACAGAGAGAAACAGAGCGTGAGCAGGGGAGGGGCAGAGAGAGAGGGAGACACAGAATCTGAAGCTGTCAGCACAGAGCCCGACACGGGACTCAAACCCATGAACCACGAGATCACAATCTGGGCTGAAGTCAGACACTTAATTGAGCCATCCAGCTGCCCCTGTTGTGTTCTTTTTTTAAAAAATATTTTTATTTTATTTATTTTTGAGAGAGAGAGCGTAAGCAGAGGATCTGAAGCAGGCTGCACGCTGACAGCAGTGAGCCTGATGCAGGGCTCAAACCCACAAACCGTGAGATCATGTTCTGAGCTGAAGTCAGACACTTAACTGACTGGGCCACACAGGTGTCCCTTCTATATTGTGTTCTAAAAGAGACGTGTGTATGAAATGCCTTGTTAGAGCATAGAATCCCTTCTAGACCAAAAATCTTATGATTTTATCAGTCCTGAGACATATTGGGACAGGATGCAAACTGCTTTGTTTTGAGCAGCTTCAGCTGTGTGTGGCCAAGGTTTGGTCACATTGCCAGGACTTGGGTCAGATGCTTAACCTGAAAGACTTTAAGTATAAGATTGATCAACCTGTTTTTAAAAGTTCTGTAGCTTTCGGTGTTCGGTTTCTCATGTTAAGGAGATTGGAGGTTACCAGTCTGTCCTCATGACACCTAAAAAGCTGAACAGACAGAAAAATCACTAATTCTTTTTGGATCCATAAGAGAGGGGAGGACACAGGGTAGACCACTGCCTCTGAGACGGGAGAGACAGGTGAATACCGGGAGTGGCATGCAGAAACTG